TTCGATTAAGCTTCATTTTCTTTTATTGCATAAATTGTAAATTGAATAAAATTTTTATTTAAATTTTTATAAAATTGTTATCGGATTCCCCGATTCCCCGATTCCCGGATTCCCCGATTCCCGGATTCCCCGATTCCCGGATTCCCCGATTCCCGGATTCCCCGTTCCCTGTTTTAAAGATAGCCTTGCTATCACAATGCTAAACAGTTAATTTTAATTAAATGCAAACACTCGCAGCGACTTGCGATAAGCTTCGTGCGAGGACCGGAAATTCGCCTTTACTCGCCTTAATTGAATGTTTCTACGTTGACTGCATTGATATAACTGTATGGAGATTACATAGGTCCCATGTAGTATAACATGAGGCATGTTAAACTTAGCAGTCGAAATGAGCTTTGTTGAGAAAAAAGTTCTTGATTGTAACCGTGATTGAACCACGAATACATATGCATTACACTTTGTGTGTTTGCATATTTCCATTTGACCTGTAAGCTGTGTACAGTATGTTGTAGGCATATGTATATTGCACGGATACATTGCTACATACCTATCTCTGAGAATGGACTGTTTTAATCTCGCACACTTGTTAACTGTGAAGTCCGTGTATGTTATGTAAGTTGAGCATTTAAGCCGGTTTTCCACTTCAAGCGTACCGTACCGGAGCGTATCAAAGACGTTCTTAAATTTCAAAATATCGTAAATGTTGATTGGTTAGTACTTCCGTAGTACGCCAAAAAGTTGACTTGCGACGAACTTTTGTGTTGATAAGCAGATACACGCTGAAGTACGTTGATTTATAAACCTCTTTTCAATCTGCGCATGCTCACCAGTACGTTTCGGTACGATACGGGTGAAGTAGAAAACCGGCTTTATGCTGCATGCGTATAGACGTGAATGATACTTTGGCTGTACAAACGTGCAGGTTACATGTAGACCGTTAATATTATTCTGACGACACATAACTTTGATTAAATATTTCCTATGTAACGTACTATATCGGTAACCCTGCAAGTCTTATGTACTGAATTTTATCTAAGGGTACATGCATACGATATAAACATTGAACAAATACCGTATACCACTTCGGTATTCAACTAAACGTTGACTTACAAGTACTTTCTGTGGCAGGACAAGTTGATGGAGTTCCGAAACGTGTGCACAGCTGCAATCCCTTGTTTTGTATTTCCTGATTTGCTTTGTCACACAAATTATCATGGACCTTACTTGTTTTATCACATATCGATATGAAACGTCCTAATTTGGTATATTAATTATTGTCTATAAGCCATGCAATTACGATAGATACTCAGCAATATTATTATATTTTTATTACATACCCATTGACTGTAGAGAGCTGTGAAGGACAATTATGTCATTATATGCCTTGCCAACCAGAATACTACGTACTGAATTTCCGCTTGATATATTTATTTGATTTATAGCAAATACATCAGCGTTTTGGTAGTACAACGAATTTCCAGATATGGCCAGCAAATTCGAACTAAATGATCCATTTCTGATACTATTCAGGTGCTGGAAATCATAATCACTTGAAAATATATACTGATCATGATCTGAAGTACCTTCAATCCAGTACACTCGTTTGTTTGTGTAGTCAAGTGTAATACCCAGAGGCTGTAATTGCCTTGGCAAACTCCTTATCTTGTTAGTAGCCAAATTCATTCGCCATACATTAGGATAGCTTGTCCAAAACAAATACCTATATACACAGTAAAGAAAAATAATAATGTTAAAAACAGGTACAAATATTATTTTCCTGAATTCCTCGTCTTCAGATTCGATGTTTGTCACAAAAATACTACAACTGAGATAACTGCGAGTTTTCAAGGGTGTTGTGAAAAGGCGAATCTTAGTCCCACTTGTTAAGAGTTCCGATATCTTTCTGTGTCACGCAATCACGAAACCTAATCCAATCCCGAACCCTAACCTCCTAATAACCACTTACATTTTGTGACTGTGTGACATGAAAATTTAACCAGAATTTCTTTCACTCTGGGGGGCGGGGCTTACGATTTTTATCTAGACAAATATCTATCAATCTGATTTGATTTGGCATGATTGTTCAGCTACGCGCCGGATGCCGCTTTCATTAAAGGCTTATTTCCACTCGAGAAAATTATCCGTGGATTGGAACGGACAAGAAAATTTTTCTTTTTGTTAAAGTCAGTAGTTCCAACCCAGAGCTCACAAGACAAAGAAAAAATTTCTTGTCCGTTCCAATCCACGGATAATTTTCCTGAGTGGAAATTACCTTTAATGCGCTCCGTAGTCATTATATTTTTCAATTTGTTTTAATGTGATCAAACTATATACGTTTTAAAACATTATTTAAAATGCATGAAGTTATTTTTCAGTGATCCAAGCCACAGTTGATGTGATGGAAGTTATGTCGGTTTTGAGGACAACTGTCAGTGGTGTTCACCGTTCTATGGCGGAAGAAATATGAGCGACGAGGCCAACCCAGGTGGCACATGGTGCCCTGTTGAATGGGAATGCTTGGCACGATGCCATGTTAAACCATTTAAGATTCTGCTTTTGAAACAGATGCTAAGCTATAGCTGGTCAAAAGCATCCTAACGACAAGAGAATGTCAAAGCAGTTTACACCATCTTACTTCAATTGAAATAGCCCAACGTGTAACAATTTTAAGACCAGAGCCCAGAGTGTCACTGACGCAAGGGACCTTGGGTACGCGCTACCAAACGGCTATATAAAAAAAGGTATTCCACATGGCCATAGACTAAAATTGGTTATATAGATTGAAGCTTGCGCCCAATGCGGAATGTTTATATATTTTATTGTTGGTGGCGCACTCTACTTTTGTATATGGGTTTATTTTCGCGTTATATTTGTGTTTATTTTCACGTTATTTTCACGTTTATCGTAATTGTACTCTGGGTTTTCGTTGCAACATTTTCGGGTTGATAACAAAATGTGTAGTGCATTATCATAATGGGATTTCTTGGAAGTTTGATGGGACGCGTACCTCTTAAAAAAAACGTCAGCATCCGCATGAAAAGGTCAGTATCTGCTGGTACATACAGAAATTTTCAAGATATATGACTTTTTTCAGATAAGCCTAATACTATAGATTACGTTACGAGTTTTTCGTAATATGCGGAATAGAATTTACACACAAAATAAGCTACCACCTTGGTTATACTGATTTTTAACTCGTGGGGCAGATTATTTTATATAAATCTCAGTCATCTAAAACATAATTAATCCAATCTCTTATAATAACACTGTTAACTAGAGGGCACTCAGAGACTGCATACCTCCGCCCGTTACTCGGAAGTGAAACGCAACCTTGGAATTTCCTAAGAAATCCACTTTATAATTCTTAAGCATAAAAGATTTCAGGCCCCCGCGAATTGAAATCGAATTGCTAATAGAACATATTACTGTTGTTGTACTGCACAGTACTTGTAAAATAAAAACTTATTAAGTGTCATTAAATAAATGCATAAATTTTGCTTTATGCACTCGCGCGTGCAGTAATTTTCACAGTTGTGCTATTTTAAATTCCCAGGCAGCTAAAATCTTTTGTCTTTAAAACAATGTCGATTTCTTGGGAAATTCCGAGGTTGCGTTCTTTTTATACACCCTGTATTGAAGTAATCTAATGACTGGCACTTAATTGCTGAACGTAATAATGCGTAACTCCGTAAGCCTTGTTTTAGACATTGAATTTCGGTCGCGTGAAATGCAACTAAGACAGTAGATAATGAAGGCCGAAGCTTAATGAGGTTTATCATCTCATTATTGTCTTAGCACTGAGTGCATGAATTATACACGTCCTAATTACGCATTGAGTAATATTTTTTGTTAATTGACCGGAAAAGCAAGACAAAATTTTGTTCATTTCTCGTTCAATTTTTAACCAAATTCAACCAAATTTTAATCAGTTCTTCCTTAGCCGATGGGAAATGCATTCAAAAAATTTCGTATGGATATGTTTGGTATTTCTTGAGTTATCGTGCTCACAGACAAACACACACACACACATACAAACCCAGATGATTACATAACCTCCTGGCGGAGGTAATTAATGACCAATTTTTTAACATTACAATGGAAGGACGAGGGGGCCCTTAAGCATATTTGGTGTGGGGGCCCCTGTTGACTGCATGTTCTCATTGTTTGTCTGAAATATTATATTTATATTGAATATTGACAGAATGTTCTGGAAAATTTCGTGTCTATAACAACAACAATAAGAGTCTCTAACACATGTAGCAACTAATATTATTAATTGTGCATTCCCCCATTGATTCTTAACCTGCATATTTTACGTTTCTCAATTTTCTGGGCGCTAGACCTTGGCGGATGAGGGGTTTAATAACTGTTGTGGGGCCTAATTAGTTTTTGAACTAACCCTACCCAATGAGCGTTACGCTACTGCTTGTATAAGGCATGATTACGTCAGCAAACTCTCTTCTATTTTCGAGAGAAACAACAGGCGCAATTTTACAAATGTAACCTATTCTTATTAAGTAAGAGTTAATTACCGAAAGCAAAGTTTCTAAGATACAACCCTAGTGGCGTGCATGACCCAAAGAAAGCGTCTCAAAGGATGTTACTCCGAAGGGATGCTTTGTGCGGTCACGCTCCCAAGGGATGTATCTCCCTAAGAAACCGACCTTATTTCAAATTTGTACGGATGAAAAACAACGAAATTTACTTCATAATATGTTTGTCCTTTAAAATTAGTTTGAATTACCGTGATTGGAATAAAAGCAAGCGGGGTTGCCATTTGACATCGTCAATTTTCTTGTTGTACTACAAGAAGTGTATTAATTGATTATTATTCATTCGGTCACCAACAACAATTAGGATCAAATGTATTTGTATTGAATTAAATCAACAAAGTTTGTTACCATGCGGTCTATATGAAAATGAATTGAAACCATTTTACGAGAGCGATCAAGTACTACATATTATGTCATGCCAAATCTAACCGTGAATGCGTTTAAACTATGAACGACTATATATAGCGACGAAGAAAATGGCCAAGCAACCGCAATCAGATGAAAATCTGTTTGTGAAAAGAGGATCAGAACAACCAAATGGCAGACCATTAGAATTTGCAGGGCACAAAGGAGACAGAGGAAAAGAGTTGTAATAGTTTCTGAAGCGGAGCTTAAAAATGAATATATTACACATATACCGTAGGCACAAGATACAACACCATTTGGGCAGTTCATGTTTGTAAAGAGGGCACCAAAATTTACGTTCAACATTTGCCCGACTTACGTTCAAAATTTGCCAAACTTATCGACATTTCAATTTTTCTGAAGGGCAGATGCCCCCATGCCCCCACCCTATGCCCCGTTTTACCCCTGCCCCTCCTCCCCGCCTTTTACGCCTATGCAGTCATTGCTTAGGTTCGCATGCGAGTTATAATGCAGGGTAGCGTTATCTCAGTAAGCTAGGATAAGGAAAGACAGGAAAACATGCGCCCAACAAACTGAAAGCAATTCTAATATAGTCCAGTTTTATCTATGTGGAATTTGAATGGCTTTGTGTAACATGATACTGTAAATAACATAATATGAAACAGGCTGCGCATGCTCCATGAAATCTAGTCAGAGTGAGCGTGCACCCTGAGAGAGAAGGTTACACATGTAAAATTTTTAAAATAAACTGTTAAAACCGAGTTTGTTATTTACGGTGCCTCGCTACGTTACAACTGGTGGCAGCGGTAAAATAATGAGAAAAAGACGACGTCAACGAAAATGGCTTCGAGCATTCTCCCATCCAAAATCGACGGAGAAAGTCGAAACATTGAAACCCGAATGCTTCGCACTGGTGAAGATCCGTCGGTTTATAGGTGGGAGTTGGAACAACTTCTAGAAAAGTCCGACCCCACCTCGCTGTAGAAGCCAAATCTGCTCTTTTGTCCCGCCAATTCATGCGTGGTCTGCCGAGCTCTATATGAAGAACACTTTTGGCTCACAACCTCACGCCAACCTTAAGCGAGATGCTGAGTTATGTCCAATGTTATCGAGCGATTGAAGACTACGACGTCCCTGCACGCGCAAGCGCATTAACACAAGCAGACAGCGGACATGGATTAACTCGTGGGTTTAATGACCGAACTGGTAACTCGACAGAAAGCGCTTAAAGACCAAGTGGCCACTTCCTAGCAGTTTATATGCCGCAGCAATCAAGCAAAACGGAAGTCCACGACCGAAAGTTACGTGTTTTCGATGTGGAAAACAAGGCCACATTGTTCGAGAGTGTCGCAGTTCAAGCCAACGCCAAGACCGTTCCAACGTGCAATGCTACGAATGCGGGAGGTACGGACACTTCGCCCGTGAATGTGGAAACTATGCGCCTTTAAACTTCCAAGGGCCGTCTCGAGGAACCACAGGCCGGTAAGCAGCCCCGAAACAAGTAAGAACTGTGACTTTAGTAATAATTCTACTAATGTTTTTAATGATAGTTTGCCAGAACATCCATTTGTTGCCTGTCTCATTGACGGCGTACCTGTCAATGCTTTCTTAGATACTGGGTCAATGAAGTCTTTTATTAGTGATAAAGTTTATAATATCTTTGATTTTGACTGCAGTCGATTAGATAAGTCGCAGTTACAGCGTTGTACCTCAATTACTGGAGGGGACTGAAATATTGCAGGAACCGTGTCTACGAGCGTGACATTTTCACGTTCTATTAAAACATAACTATCATAGCTCTTTTCTTGTAGCATGCGGTAATATACCATATGATTGTGTTTTGCTTTGGGACTTTATTATGCAGCATAAATTATGTGTTCAAGGGAATTTCTTGGGAGGGGAAGTCGTTATCAGTTAATAGGGACCTATGGGAAAATCCCAATACATGCGGAGCATCCAGCTTTGAAGGTGCGATCGAACGGAGCTGTGATTACAGAGGCCAACTCACCCGTTGTTTCCCCCAATGAAGGGAGCAAAACCAATGCGGTACTTGTGCAATGTCTGTTGAAAGGTGTCGATAAAGTAATTCTGTCTGAAGCAGTGGCAATTCCGGCTCGATCGGAAATGGTAATTGAAGGTAAGATACAGGCAAAAGATATTTCACAGGTTGACATGATATCAGCTAGTCAGGCAGATAGTGTTACACATTTACAAGGATTACACGCAATGACGCACATATCCTCTGCCAAGGGTTGACGATTTACTTGAGTCGATTGGAAATGCAAAGCATTTTACCACACTAGACCTAAACTAAGCGGCTACTGGCAAATTCTCGTTCACCCTGATGATCGTGAAAAAACTGCCTTTGTCACGTAGAGCGGCTTATATGAATTTAGTCTTATGCCTTTTGGCCTAGCAACCGCGCCCGCAACATTCCAACGAGCAATGGAACAAGCTTTAGCAGGCTTTACATATAGTATTTGTCTTTGCTACTTAGATGACATAATTATCTTTAGTAACAGTATTACTGAACATTGTAACCGATTAAGAGCGATCTTAAATCGCTTCCGGCAGCATTATTTCCGCTTATAGTTGGCAAAATGTAATTACGACGCTAAAAAGGTTAAAAAGGTTCACTATTTAGGGCATATGATATCCGATGACGGAGTTAGCCCCCTCCCTTCAAAAAATGAAGCAATAAAACAGATTCCTGTGCCGAAGACAGTGAAGGAAGTCCGAAGTTTTTTAGGGTTGTCTGGATACCACCGACGTTTTATTAAGGATTATGCAACGATTTCGGCGCCTCTCCCTAAATTGACCACGAAAACCAGCAACAAGCAGTTTAACTGGACCGCAGATTATGAATATGCTTTTACAATTGTAAAAACATGCCTACGCAATTCGCCGGTTTTGGTTCACCCTAAATTTGACAGAGAATTCCTCCTACAATCCGATGCCTCGGATATAGGATTAGGAGCAATCTTATGTCAGCTTGATGACAATGGCGTAGAGCGGCCAATCGCGTATGCATAAAAATCTTGTCAGGTCGAGAGCGTAAGTATTGCACTACCGAAAAAGAAGCGTTTGCGGTCATATTTGGCATTCGTACCTTTCGAACGTATTTACTAGGCCGGCCTTTTCAATCAATCAATCAATCAAATTAATTTAATTTAAGCACGGTAAAATCTTTAGTATAATATATTACAGGAACAATAACGAAACATAATTACATATATCTAACTACAGATAATAATAAAAGGTAAAAATTTACTGATTTACAAGATAGCCGTGTGGGAGTTCAGATATATAAGGCATTATAATATTCGTTTACAGCCTTCCTAAACTGTGAAAATGATTGGAGTTTTTGTATATTCTCGGGAAGGCTGTTCCACAATAATGCTCCACTATAATGAAAGCTTCGTTTTAGATAATTAGCACGTGGCTTAGGCAAATTCAATTTCATTTCAGAATTCCTGAGATCGTATTCTGAGCTACGAGTTGAGAATAAACTCTGTAGATAAGGAGTATTACCTTTAAGAGTTTTAAAAATCAAGCCAATTTTTAACTTATTTCGTCTCAATGAGAGGTTATCCAAGTGTAGGTAGGATATTGAGTAGCACATCTGCATTACTATCATTGCTAGTCCTCATAATGACTCTAACTGCCCGATTCTGCAGTTTTTGTAATTTAGTGCTTAGCGTTTCGCCAAGTCCATCCCAGACCGAGAAGCAATAGTCAAAATGAGGTTGGATTAGTGCATGATAAACCTGGACAGCCGTACTCATTGGAATATAAGATATAATACGTTTTAATGCTCCTATAGGCGAAGCTATCTTTTTACAAAGGTATCGATATGTACTGACCAGGTAAGATGACTATCAATATCTACTCCTAAGGATTTAACTGAATCTATCTTATTGATTATATTACCATTCAATTCAGTGTCTATTTTATCATTTAAATTTCTTATTCTTTGCCGAGACCTGATTATCATTTATTTAAACTTAGTTTATTTGTAATAAGTTACTTATTAAGGCTTTTCAATGGACCATTCCACAAGTAACCAAAATTTTGATCTCAACATGTCTAGAAAAAATTCCACCATAGCATGAAAGAGCATCTCAAAATTAGTAATATTCCAAAGTTTTGTTGCGAAAAGTTGTAAAATACGGATAATATAGCGTTGCGAAATTTGCAATTTTTAGTCATTTTAGATTACAAACGGGAAATGGTTACCACCTTTCCAAAATTTTGATCTCAAATAGCCTGAACAAAAATTTTATCACAGCTTGAAAGAGCATCAGAAAATTAGTAATATTCCGAACTTTCGTTGCAAAATGTTGTAAAATGCGGATAACATAGCCTTGCGAAGTTTGGAATTTTCAGTCATTTTGTATTACGCACAGAAGTGGTAACCATTTCCCGTTTGTAATCTAAAATGACTGAAAATTGCATACTTCGCAAGTGTATATTATCCGCATTTTATAACATTTTGCAAGGATACTTTGGAATATAACTAATTTTGTGATGTTCTTTCAAGCTGTGATAAAATTTTTGTGTAGACTTGTTGAGTTCAAAATTTGGTTAATTGAGGAATGAACCATTCAGAGTTGATGACATTTTGGAGCTCTGCGGCCGAATTAGACGCATAGCTGACACTTGTGCATGTCGTCTGCAAACATCCTTGGTGTTGCATAATTAAGAGAGTTTGGTAAATCATTGATATAAATGAGAAATAGCAGCGGTCCTAAGCTGCTACCTTGGGGAACACCGCAAGTTTCTGGCAGAGAATTCGACAGTTGATCGTTAACCCAGTACTTTTGAGTTCTATCAGTGAGAAAGGAATGGAACCAGGTTCGGCTATTTTCATCGATACCATACACCCTTTTCATAAATGGCTGCCGATTAAAAATTCGTTTATGTACATATAACTTGGCCCAACTAGCCTCGTACTCATGTTAAGATTTCAAAGGAATTTCTACCCAGAAACGAGGCTAGTTGGTCCAATTTATATGCACATAAAAGAATTTTTAATCGGCAGCCATTTATGAAAAGGGTGTCTAGTTTTTAAGTTTTAGTAGGATAATAATTTGATGGCCAATTGTGTCGAAAGCTTTTTTTAAGTCAATAAAGACACTGAACACCATTAACTAAGCCATTGTCAATATTCAAAGACCAGTCAGATGTAGCTTCCAACAGTGCTGTTATAGTACTGTGAAGGGATCGAAATCCAGATTGGCAGGTAGTTAGCAGGCTATTCCCATCAAGGTACCCGTATAGTTGATCAAATATGATTTTTTCAAATATCTTAGCAACACATAAAATAACAGATATAGGTCGGTAGTTGCCGGGATCACTTTTTCTGCCACTTTTAAAAATAGGCGTCACTAGCTCTGCTTGCTTTCCATTCATACGAGAATATTCCTGTTCTAATTGATGCAGCAAATATTCAAGTTAGTGAAGGTGCAATCACAGTGGCAGCTATCTTCAGTAATTTATTCGGAATATTAAACCTTCCGATTTCTCCCTATCTATTCCGCTCAGCAGTTGGTAAACAGTATCAACCTGCGGAGCTTGGAGCGAGAAAAATTTATCAGTTGGTTTAATTAAGATAAAAACTTGGTTCATGTTCGGATGGTGGAATTTCAGACGCAAGTTTTGTCCTGCAAGTTTTAGTTGAGCTATTCGATTGGTTTTACATACATTTTTAGAGCTCAATTCATTAACAATTTTCCAAGTTTTTTTCAAATTACCTTTATTGAGGTCAAGGTTATTCTTGTAATAAGCTTGTTTAGTCTTTTTAATTTTATTATTAATATAATTTTTTGTTTATTTGTCGGCATTGATTCCAAATTTCTGGATCTCTAAATGAAATAGCTTTCTTTTTTAGGTAGTATCTTTGAAACATTTGGTGTCTTAATTCGTTTGTGATCCAGGGTGATTTCCTGTTTCTGGTTCTTCTGGATCTTAGTGATGCATGCTTGTCAACACTTCCATCAGCATATTTTTCCAAGTATGCCACATTTCATTCGGGTATTATGAATAATAAAGAGTATTCCATTCTTTTTGTTCAAATTCATTTAAAAAGGCTTCTCTATTGAAATTTTTCATTGATCTAGAATTAATTATTCTAGGACCCTCGGGGTATTGTGGGCCTTACGTATCGTATAAATCAGTGAGTGGTCACTGATAGATAGATGTAGGACTCCAGATTTGAAAGTATTAGTAGGCATGTTTGTAAGACATAGATCTATTAATGTACTTGATGTAGCTGTGATTCTTGTTGGTTCATTTGTCAATTGTTTTATTTCATATATATATATATATATATATATATATATATATATATATATATATATATATATATATATATATATATATATATATATATATATATATATAATATTTCCTTCACTTTTCGTCTGTTTGATGATTCACTTGTTGACATCAAGTCAACTTTCAGATCACCAAGCAAATAGTATCCCAAATTTCCGGCATCAAAAAATCCGATCATTTGTTCAAATTCAGTAAAATGGCTAACTGCATGGTGAATCGGGAGGTCTGTACCAACCGGTACCAAGTACTAACTAATATAGGTTTAGATCTTGGTTTTTTAATTTCCAAAACTAAATTTTCAATACCTCCACCACTGCGTCCATTTACACTTCTATCTCCTCTAATAATTTCATAACCTGGCAGACAGACCTCATGATCCTTAACTGATGAATCGAGTTTGGTTTCATTTATACGTATTATATCTATTTTATTAATGTGGCAGTTTCTTTTAGACAAAAAATACACATCCAGATCCAGCCATAGTGGTGCCAGAAGCTTTAGAAACCGAAATACTAAAAGGTACGCACCGGTCCATTCACCGGGCACTTAGGGTCACACGAACATTAGATCGCATTAGGAAATGCTTCTTTTGGCCAAACATGCTGAAATCAGTTGAAAATATATTACATTCGCCAATGTGACACATGCGTCAAAAGGAAAACACCAGCACTGACGGCCAGCAATGGCACAGCCCCATTGCAAAGTTTACAAGTAGCGAACATTTACATTTTGGGCTTTAGATTACATGGGTTCTTACCAGAAACAGATCTACAAGCAGAGCGGGCCGGTTTTTTGCATCCGGCCCGCTCTGAAACGCAACTGCCCGCTGTGAAATGCAACTGCCCGCTCTGGTTTTCGCGGCAAAAACTGAGGAGTGAAACAATTTTTAAACGAAAAAATCTGCCAACAACGTTTGAAAAACATAGCCTAACGATAGTCAGAATACGAAAATGAATTGCATCAAGCCCTAAAGGCTTCATACTAAGCACGATGTTCACGGGAATTGACAATATTTTGATAGAAATGCGACTGAAAGTCGGAAAGTATTTGACATGTATAAAACTTACGTCGAGAAAACTATATATTTTTTAAATGCTCATGTATTCGGCCACTTAAAAGCGGAAAAATTACAGCTTAAACAGATATTGTAAAATAAATGTTTTCCCATTTAAAAGAAGGTTTAACTGCAGCAGTGAAAACAAGTAACGAATATATTCTCTACCCATTTGTGTCATGTATTTTTCAATATATATATATATATATATATATATATATATATATATATATATATATA